TCATTCAGGTTTAGTATTTTTATTGTTAATTTCTAGAGCAGTATTAGATTTACAGAGAAAATGAACAGAAAGTACGGAGAATTCCCTTTTACCCCTTCTCCTTCTCACACAGTTTTGCCTGCTGTTACCATCTTTGTATTAGTGTGGTGTATTTGTTACAATTGGCGAATTAATATTGATACATTATAATTATTAACTAAAGTCCATAGTTCACATTAGGAATCACCCTTTTTGTTGTACAGTTGTATGGATTTTGACAAATGTGTAATGTCCTGTATCTACCGTTATTATATCCAACACTGCCCTAAAAGTCCCCTGGGCTCCGCCTGTTCATCCCCCTCCCTACCCATATCCTCTGGCAACTACTGAATTTTTTTTTTCTTTCTTTTTGTTGTTTTGAGATAGAGTTGCCCAGGCTGGAGTGCATTGGCATGATCTCTGCTCACTGCAACCTCCACCTTCCAGGTTCAAGAGATTCTCATGCCTCAGCCTCCTAAATGGCTGGGATTGCAGGCATGCACCACCGCGCCCAGCTAATTTTTGTATTTTTAGTAGAGATGGGGTTTCGCCATGTTGACCAGGCTGGTCTTGAACTCCTGGCATCAAGTGATCTGCCCACCTTCACCTCCCAAAGTGTGGGGATTACAGGTGTGAGCCACCATGCCTGGCCCACTAATTTTTTTTTAGCTCTCCCCATAATTTTACCTCTTCCAGAATGTCGTATAGCTGGAATCATAGAGTGCGTAGTCTTTTCATACTGAGCAATATGCACTTAAAGTTCTTCCATGTCTTTTTGAGTCTTGATAGCTCATTTCTTTATATCTCTCTGTATTCCATCGTGTGGATGTTCCACAGTTTTGTCTATCCATAAACCCGTCAAAGAGCATCTTGGTTGCCTTCCAGTTCTGACAGCTTTCAGTAAAGCAGCTGTGAACATTCAAGCTTCTGTGTCGACTGAAGTTTTAGACTCATTTGGGTAAATACCTGGGAATGTGATTGCTGGCTTATATAAGACTGCTTTCTTTTGTAAGAAACCACCAAACTCTCCTCCAAAATGTCTATACCATTTTACATTTCCACCAGCACTGAATCGAAGTCCTGTTGCTGCCTATCTTGCCAGCGTTTGGTATTGTCAGTGTTTTGGATTTTAGACATTCTAGGAGATGTGTAGTAGTCTCATTGTTGTAATTTGTAGTTCTCTTACAACATGTGTTATTGAGCTTCTATGTGCTTTTTGAAGTGTTTGTTTTCTTGTTGTTGAGTTTTAAGGATTCTTTGTATATTTTGGATTAGGTTCTTTATCACATGTATGTTTTGCAAATATTTTCTCGCTACTCTGTGGCTGGCCTTTTCATTCTCTTAACAGTGTCTTTCACACAGCATAGCTTTGCTTTTAATGAAGTCCAATTTATTGACTTTTCCTTCCATGGATCATGCTTTTAATGTTATATGTAAAAACTCATCCCCAAACTCAAGGTTACCAAGATTTTCTCCCATGTTTTTTCCTAAAAGTTTTGTATTTTTGCATTTTACATTTTGGGCTATGATGTGTTTTTTGTTAGTTTTGGGGGAGACTGCATGGTCAGTGTTGATTCATTTTTCTGCATGTGGATGTACACAGCTGGCACCAGTTGTTCCAGTGTCACCTGTTGAAAGGACTGTTCCTTTCTCCACTGATTTGCCTTTGCTCAGTTGGCCATATTCATATGGGTCTATTTCTGGGTTTTCTATTCTTTTACATTGATCTATTTTCTATTCCTTTACCAATACCATCACTGTCTTGGTTACTGTAGTTTTATCATAGATCTTAAAGTCAGGGAGTGACAGTCATGCAGCTTTGTTCTTCCTCATTATCGTGTTGGCGGTTCCTTGTCTTTTCCCTCTCTACTTTCAACTTGAGAAACAGTTTGTTGATATCTACAAAGTAACTTGCTGGAATTTTCATTGGGAATACATTGAACTTATAGATCAAATGAAGAAGTAATGTTATAATAATATCAAATCTCTCTGTTCATAAACATGAACGATCCCTCCATTTTTTAGATCTTTTTTCCTTTCCCTCATTAGGGTTTTACAATTTTCTTTATACAAACTTTATGTCTATTTTATTATACATATCTAAATATTCGTCTTTCAGGTGCTAATGCAAACAGTGTGTTTTTAATTTGAAATTCTAACTGTTGGTTGCCAGCATATTGGAAAGCAATTGACTTGTGTAATTACCTTGTATCCTGTAACTTTGCTCTAATCACTTATTTGTTTCAGGGCTTTTTTCGGTGGGGGGTTGCTGTTGACTCCTTGAAATTTTCTATATAGACAATAAAAAAAACCCTGAAACAAGTCATCTGCAAACAAACACAGTTTTACTTCTTCCTTCCCAATCTGTGTATCTTTTATTTCCTTTTCTTTTCTTACTGCTGTAACTAGAATTTCCAGTACAGTGTTGAACAGGAGTGGTGAGAGGGGATATCTTTCCCTTATTTCCTGTCTTAGGAGAAAAGCATCTAGTTTCTCGCCATTAAGTATGCTGTTAGCTGTCGGGTTCAAGTTGAGGAAGTTCCCCTCCCTTCCTTGTTTGCTCAGTTTTTATCATGAGGAGGTGTTGGATTTTATCAAGTATGCTTTCTGCATCTACTAATATGATCATATGATTTTTCTTATTTAACCTGTTGATGTGATGGATTACAGTAATTGATTTTTCTTGTCTCCCCCCCCCCTTTTTTTGTGGAGAATGGGTTCTCCCTGTGTTGCCCAGGCAAGTCTTACCCTGGTCTCAAGCCGTCCTCCTGCCTCTGCCTCCCTAAGTGCTGGGATTACAGGCATGAGCCACCACACCCAGCTCATTAATTGATTTTTAAATGTTGAACCACCCTTGCATACCTGGGTTAAATTCCATTTACTTGGTTGTTATGTATAATGCTTTTTACACATTATTGGATTCAGTTTGCTAATATTTTGTTGAGGATTTTTGCACCTCCATATAGTTTTCTTTCTTGTAACCTCTTTGTCTGGTTTCAGTATTGGGGTGATGCTGGTCTCAGAGAATGAGTTAACAGAAAAGTGCTTCTGTTCTCTGGAACAGATTGTAGACAGTTGGTATAACTTCATCCTTAAACTGTTGGGTAGAATTCCTCATTACTTTCCTCAGCAGTCCTAGTATTTAATCCACTTTAAATCCTCTCCACTTTATCTCCTAGAGTATTTTGGGAGTTTTTTCTCCCTTGCCTTTCCACCCTCATGCAGCCCCAATCACACCTGTAAATATAAACTCTTTTTGACCCCTGCCTTCCTATTAGCTTACCCCCAGGCTGTGAGTTTTATAATAGCAGAGATCATGTCTCCCTTGTTCACAATGTTATCTACAACACCCAGTGCAGTATCTAAAACATAGTACGTGCCCATTAAATATTAGTTGACTTCCTTACCTAATGTCCTTGTATAGTTCTCAACAGTTTACAAAGCACTTTAGCGTTCATTATCTTTTTTTGATCTCTAACTGTGCATTTTAAGCTAGGGAAGTAGCAATACCTCATATTTCTCATGAGAAGACTGCCACTCAGAAAGATCAAATAACTTATCTTGGTTTATTCCATTTTGAAATGGGAGCCACTAGAATTAATCCAGATCTGCTGATTTCAAGTTTAAGGCCTTTTCTTCTGTATCTAACACTAATCAAGGCTTTTCTCATACCCACCTCACTTTATCAGATCCCCATTGAAAAAGGAGGGAGCAACAGTTATTTTGATGCACAGTAGCTCAGATACAACTGAAAAAATTAGTTTTTCCAGAAGAAGTGGTTACCTGATAAGAGGCTCTCAAAGATCTGCTTGATCTTCACATTTATTCAGACTGATGCCTGGGTCCCAAATGATACAGTCTTTTTTCATGAATATTAGGCGATAAGAGAACATTTTAAAGGACTGTATTTATATTGTATAAGTTACATTCTGTCTTCACTCTGTGGCAAAAGTAATTTTTACCTTCTGAGAAGCTGTTTATTACTTTCTCACTGAGGAAAGGCAAACAGATGATTTATAGACTCTCCTGTTTAGGGCATTATTCATATTTTAAAGCAGTGCTCAATTAATAAAGATTTTAATTTTAAACACCCACATACATGATACAATAGGAAAAAAAGTGGTCATCGCGTCTTTTCTAGGACGCGTCTTGAAAAACAAATTTACATGGGTGCCCAAGTGTGCTCTTCTTTCATAGTTTGCAAACAACTTAAGAGAAACCTCAGCATTTATTCATTGCTGAAGAATCTAGCTGACATCCTTGGAAAATAATTTGAAGAGCTAGTGGGTCAGTGCATGCTGTGCTAGAAGCTTTGAGCTCCCTTTTGCATTCTATAATTTATATGTGTCCCAGCATGAGGTCGTTTTCACAATTTTGCTTTTAAATTATGTATATTACAGTGAAATGTACTGATATAAATATAGAAATGACCTATAAAGATTTCTTTTTCCCAGAATGTAACCTTTTAAGACCTCTTTGTTCTCCAGACCACCCTTGTCATAAACACATGCCAGAACTATATTGTCACACTGGACCCACATTTTATAGTAAATATTATAATATATTTTTATAATAACATAGTGTACCGTTTGTTGATATTTGGCAAACGTGTACTTATTAAGAACTTGACCAAAAGTATAATTAAGCATTAACAGGGGTCTACTTTTATGCAAAGAAAAGAAAAAGAAAAAAAATTGTCCAGAGGGTATATGGCTTCTTTCAGAAACAGAGTAAGAGTAAAGTTTAATTAGACTTGTAAGGATTGTTAATAAAGGGGCTTGGATCATTTAAATTTTGTTTTTCAAAAATATTTGAGATGGTCAGAGGGAGACTGAGGTGCATTTCCAGTGGAAAGTTTATGGAAGAATAAACATTTTGTGACTGTACAAAATACTTAAGAGCATTTGGCTTTTTCAGGTAACTTAGGTTTTAAAGTAACTTTAAAATATAGAATTATAACAATTATAATTTTTTAAAATTAGGATCCAGTTTATGGGAAAGGAAAACTTGGAGAAATCCAGGGACTTATTCTGGGAATGCTGGACACCTTTAACTATGAACAAGTAAGTAAGCTGCTTGCTGCATCTAAGTCTGTCCTGAGGTAGAAAAAGAACTATTTATTTTCTTTTTTCTTTTGTACCTATACTTTAAAAAAAAAAATACTGTCTCTTTACTGGCAGTTAGGTAGACTGAGGCATATGTGTGTGTATTTCTTCTGTTTTTTAATTTCTCTTGCCAGGCATGCTGGCTCATATCTGTAATGCCAGTACTTTGGGAGACTGAGACAGGAGGATTGCTTGAGGCCAAGAGTTTGAGACCAGCCCAGGCAACATAGCAAGGCTCTGTCTCTACAAAAAATAAAAAAATTAGCTGGGCATGGTGGAATGTGCCTATAATCGTAACTACTCAGGACAATCAGTTGAGCCCAGGAGTCGGAGTCTGCAGTGAGCTATGATCATGCCACTGCACCCCCAGGTGACAGAGCTAGACCCTGACTCTAAAGAAACAGAAAATTCTCTTGACCTTAATTTGTGCACACACACACATATTTCAGAACGTAGAAATGCATATAATTCCAATTTAGTTTAGTTTTTGATTCACTGGTAATGAAACAAATATCTTTTTCTCCAGATGAAAGTATGAGAAACTTCCTGGAAAAATACAAAACTCTACCACATGAAAGGAAGGGTCAGCGTGAATATAGAAACTTGCAGATACAATTAAACGAGTATTATTTTAAGCATTCTGAGACATAGTTGTCACTAACCATTGTATTAGTTCATTTCTACGCTGCTGATAAAGACATACCTGAGACTGGGCGGTTTACAAAAGAAAGAGGTTTACTGGACTTACAGTTTCACATGGCTGGGGAGGCCTCACAGTCATGGCAGAAGGTGAAAGGCATGTCTCAGGTGGTGGCAGATAAGAGCTTGTGCAGGGAAACTCCCCCTTATAATACCGTCCAATCTCGTGAGACTTACTTGTTGTCCCATGAACAACACGGGAAAGACCCGTCCCCAGGATTCAGTTACCTCCCACTGGGTTACTCCCACCACACATGAGAGTTCAAGATGAGATTTGGGTGGGAACACAGCCAAATCATATCACCATAAATGGTCACTAGTCTTCCCTTAACTCAAAATTGCCTTTAGCTTTAAGTCTCAGTAAGAGCCAGCTTGGTGCTACGGGCTTTTTTCTCAGTGTGCTACAAAGTGACTCATGAAGTCACCTAGGAAAAGTGCCATTTACGTCTGTTGGAGATGATGTCTGCTTTTTCTTTAAGAATCTGAGAGAAGAAAAAGGAAAATCTGGTGACAGCTTTTCTTAGAATGTTATAAGAATTGCCGTTTGGCTAAGCATAGCCCACTGAAGCTTGATACCCCACAGGCACACATTCCAGGTTAGCAGAGGTAAAATTGAGTGCAAGGCAGAGAACATTTGCCAGTTTGGGAACTATGGAAGAGGAAAAAAAGATGATACTGACTGTAAAGAATTAGAATGGAAAAAATTAGAATAGAAACAAATGTTTGCATTGCTGGCAAAGTTAAAGAGCTAAGCTGTATAGCAGGGAGGGCAGGCAGTACCTAACTGTCTTCCCTGCAGGACCGAGAGAAAAGAACCCAAATGCATAGTCAGATGATATAGATGAATGTTAAGCATGAGATACAGTACAAAAAGAATGCTTTATAAATACGGAGAGCCTTAAAATGACTTAATGTGATAACTGCTAAAATGTCTTCATGTGACTTAATGATAGATGTCATGTGACTTAATGATGTCATGTGACTTAATGATAGCTGTCATGTGACTTAATGATTGATAGATGTCATGGTCTTGAGTAGATGCAGATGATCAGGAAAATGTGTCTCTCTGCCCAAGGGAGATGAAAATGGAGTAATGGCCATTAGCTTTACTAATCAAAAGATATTTGAAACATTACCATGAATGCAGTTTCAATAAAAAATCAGGGATCCAGACTTAGCTGTATTCTTTAGTACAACACTGAGCCATTCAGAAAGAAGTTATATAAATGTCATAAATAGATGTGAGCTTATCTAGTCATTTGAAAGCTGTCAATACTGAATTATGCTGCAGGATGGCAGAGCTCACATTTCTTAGTAGAAAATAGTGACAGACTTGAGAATCTTAACGTATACACTCATTATTAACTGCACACTGAGGTGAGCTGCTTCAATTTGGGAGACTGATTTTTTTTTTGTTTCAACAATTTCATCCGTTTAGAGTATGTTCCAATTTTAGTTGTTGGTAGTTGAAAATTAAACCAGTGCTGTTCACCGTTCCTCTCCTCCATCTCTTTCATTGTATAACCCTTTGCCTGTCTGTTTTTCGTTTCATTCTTTCATAGACCCTGCTGGAAACAACAACTAGCCTTCTCAACCAGGATCTCCATTGGTCATTATGCAACCTGAGAGCTTCGGTCACCAGAGGCCTGAACCCCAAACAAGATTACTGCTCTATCTGTTTGCAGCAGTACAAGAGACGCCAAGAAATGGCTGATGAAATTATTGTCTTTAGGTAAGAAAGGGAAGGAAATGTTACTTGTATTGTACATGTGCATCTGTGGCATTACCAGGCTAGAATAGACGTGGTTACGTGTGATAGGCAAGTTCCTGCCCTCTCAGACCTGAATTCTGCACTGGGGTGGAGGCTAGGGTGCCCAGGCAAGACATAAATCCAGAGGAATGAGCTGCGGAGAAAATAAAACACAGGCCAGATGGATAGAAGGATGAGGTGCTCAGGACAAATGCTGTTAAATGAGGAAAAACGTATCTGAGGAAGTGACCTTTGAATAGAGAGAGGGAGAAGCAGGGGTGCTGAGAGGTGATTGGATTCCAGGTGCGCTTTAAAAGGAGGGAAGACTTGCTGGTGCCTTCGATGTGGAGTCTAAGAGAAAATTGAGTCTTTAGCCTGAGCAATTAGGTAAATGTGGTACCATTGTCTAAGATGAGGAGGAACAGGTACAAGGACCTAGGGAAATCAAGCGTTTTGTCTTTCATGTGTGAGGTTTGATATGTACTGTCGGACATCAGGTAGGGATGCCAGCTAGACAGATACTCAAGTCAGAAATCTGGAGCTGTGTTGGGACTGGAAAATTTAAATTTAGAAGTGTCAGCATATGATATTTAAGCCACAGTGCAAAAAGAGAAGTCTAGTGCAGAGTTAAGGTGTTGGTCTCAGGAGCAAAGGCAGCTCATCTAGGATATGTGGATAGAGGTAACATGATATGGCCTTGGAGCCAAACTTCCTAAGTTCAAATCTTGACTCTGCTACATGCCAGCTGTCTATGAGACCTTGGACAAGTGATTTAACCTCTTTATATCTTAGTTTCCTCATATGTAAATAGGATAACAGTACCTGCCTCCTAGGGTTTTGTGAGGACTGGATGAGAGCTCATCCTGGATGTAGCCCGTGTGAGAGAGGATTTACATACGGCACTTGTAACAGTGCCTGGCGTGAGTAAGCATTATCTGAGTGTTAGCTCTAGCTCTGCAGGAAGATTGGTAGATTTGATGGTTGGAAGGAGACAGTAGTTCTCATCACACAGAGAGCCCATTCAGGCAAGAAATACTTATTGAGTACCTACTGTATGCCAGCTGCTATTCAAAGGGATAGGATACAGAACGAACAAAACAAAGGATCTGCCCTCATGGAGTTTACATTGTACTGGCCGCAATATACCATAAACCAACAAGTGAAACGCCAGATACTGATACTACTACAGGGAAAAAAAATGTTAGAGGAGCTCCAGAGTGTTTGGTGGTGGCGGAGTGTGGATACTTTGTACAGGGCGGCCAGGGAAAGACTCACTGTTAAGGTGGCTTATGAACGAACAACTTAAAAATTAATTAGTAAAAATACGATTAATAGTTACACGAATAAAAACAAGCTATGGTATATAGGAAAGGGAATGTTGGAGCTACTCATTTATAGAGTAGTCCGAGAAAGCCTCCTGGTTTAAGTGACATTTGAGGAGACCTGCAGGAAGTGGCCGTGCAGCCTCAGAAGAGAGCACGCCAGGCAGAAGACCAGCAAGTGCGGAGACCGTGTGGTGGGAGAGGCGTGGCACTCTTGAGGACTAGTGAGTGAGGGGGCTGGCGGCACCTGAGCAGCCAAGGCAGGGGAGATGAGGGAGACGTCAGAGGAGGAGCAGAAGCCAAATCATGTGGGAGCTGAGCCAGGTCTAACTCATTTCTATAATAAAAGTTAGACTTGTACTCTGAGATGAGAAGCCATTGGATGGTTTTGAGGAGGGGGTGATGATGTGATCTGACCTGTGTCTTAGGATTATTCTGAATGTTGTGTTAAGAACTAGAGCGATCAAGGGGGAAGTAGACTGGCCAGGTAGGCTATTGTAGTAGCCCGTGTGAGAGATGGTCTAGGTAATAGTCATGGAGTAAGAAGCGGTAGGATTCTGGATGTATTTGGAAGGCGGTGGCACTTTAAAGCTATGGAACCTGAAAATAATAACTAAAGGAGCAAAGGTAGTTATAACAGTATAGAAGTATGTGTGTGTGTGTGTGTGTGTGTGTGTGTGTGTGTGTGTGTGTGTAGAGAGAGAGAGAGAAGGGAAGGCAAAAGAGTATAAAGACTATAGAAAAGAAAAGGATTGGCGGGTGCGCTCGCTCAGGCCAGGCGCAGTGGCTCACGCCTGTAATGCCAGCAGTTTGGGAGGCTGAGGTGGACAGATCACATGAGGTCAGGAGTTCAAGATCAGCCTGACCACGTGAAGAAACCCTATCTCTACTAAAAATACAAAAATTGGCTGGGCGTGGTGGCGCGTGCCTGTAATCCCAGCTACTCAGGAGGCTGAGGCAGGAGGTTCACTTGCACCCGGGAGGCGGAGGTTGCAGTGAGGCGAGATTGCGCCACTGTACTCCAGCCTGGCAACAAGAGCAAAACTCTTGTCTCAAAAAAAAGAAAGAAAGAAAAAGGATTGATTTCTGAAATGTCCAACATTTTAGGTTAGAGAAATTAAGATAAATCAATGTAGATGGCTGAGAATTAGTCTCAGTCCTCACCTTCAGGAGGCTTATTTGGTAATTTAGTGTAATCGGTAGGGAATTTCTTTATAAGAATAGTGTAAAGATTTACTATAGCAATGACATTTTTGTAAATGTTTAATCAAATCACAACCCTTACCTTGAATTTGATGAGCAGACCACACGTTATTATCAAGCTACTTAAATAATTATGATTTTTCCCAGTTGCCTTTTTTTTGAGACAGAGTCTTGCTCTGTCTCCCAGGCTGGAGTGCAATGGCGCAGTCTGCTCACTGCAGCCGCCACCTCCTGAGTTCAAGCAGTTCTCGTGCCTCAGCCTCCCAAGTGGTTGGGACTACAGGCACTCACCACCACGCCTGGCTAATTTTTTGTTTTTTGATTTTTGGGTTTTGGGTGGTTGTTTTTTTTTTGTTTTTTTTTTTTTTTTTGAGACAGAGTTTCATTCTTATCACCCCGGCCGGCCGGAGTGCAGTGGGCGTGACCTCAACTCACTGCAACCTCCGCCTCCTGGGTTCAAGCGATTCTCATGCCTCAGCCTCCCAAGTAGCTGAGATTACAGGCGCATACCACCACACCCAGCTAATTTTTTGTATTTTTAGTAGACACGGGGTTTCACCATGTGGTCCAGGCTGGTCTCAAACTCCTAACCTCACATGGTCTGTCCGCCTCAGCCTCCCAAAGTGTTGGTATTACAGGCGTGAGCCATCACGCCAGCCCCCAGTTGCCTTTTTCTTAGACTATCTAAAAATCCAAAAATACCATCCAGATTTCATAGTGTGAGAAATGACCGGAAGTTCAACTCATCCTGTAGGTAATTTGTAGTCCGAGAACTGTGATTCTGTTCGTACTAACAACGTAAGTATACAAATATATGAATTTGGATTTTGGTGAAGAGGGGACAGCAAAGGTGCATTTTCTTTCTCATTTTACCCTGTACAGACATGAGTGCATTCCTACTTATTAGAGATCTGTGTTGCCTCTAAGCACACTTACAAGCTTATGTTTACGGATTTTGTGCTAGTGAAAAGTACAGATGTGTCGCCTTCATTTCACAGCTGTGGCCATCTGTATCACTCATTCTGCCTACAAAGCAAAGAATGCACCATGGAAATTGAGGGCCAGACAAGATGGACGTGCTACAAATGCAGCTCAAGTAACAAAGTAGGAAAACTCAGTGAAAATGCATCTGAAATTAAAAAGGGCAGGATAACCCCCTCACAGGTAAGACTTGTTTTCGTGGCAAAATGGAGATGGTCTTTTCTTGCCAATGTCATTAGGCCTGGTCTCATTTTCCTCAGCTCCTATAGGTCTCGACAAATTTACCTGATGAGTATTAGGTACATGGAATGTTCTATTCAGTCCTTTCTCACGTTTGAAGGGCCTCTCCTCTCTACTCAGTACTGAAAAACACGGGTTTGAGAGCAACAGATGAGATTTTCTGCCTTCAGAAGGCTTAAGATCTAGTTGGACAGATGAGGTGTACACACATGAGCCTGCTTTAAGAACTTCTGACAGAGTAACAGCAAGTACAGCTGAGTACCTGCAGGTACCAATGAGTGCCTATATGATAGGAGTGCGGAATTGTGACTTGTAAGTAGGGCTGATGATGGACAAGGTACGTACACATATGCTCTTTCACTGCCTTTGGAGTATGACTACTGGACTAGATAACAATTTTGTGTATTTTACAGCCTTTTTTAAAAGCAGGCAGTGGAGCAGAGTTTGAACTCTGCTGCTGAGTGGTTTTCAGGAGAGCAGAACTTTGGTTCAGTGCGGGGAACAAGTACATGGTTTTCTCAGCTGGATAACTTTCTTCAAAGAACGTGATGCAATAGCGTTCATTTGAGAAGTCTTTCAATACCTTTAGAGTACATGACTACTGAACTAGATAATAACTTTATGGGTTTTTTTGTTTTTTGAGATGGAGTGTCGCTCTGTCGCCAAGCTGGAGTGCAATGGCGTGATCTAGGGACACTGCAACCTCTGCCTCCCAGGTTCAAGCTATTCTCCTGCCTTAGCCTCCCGAGTATCTGGGATTACAGGCACCTACCACCATGCCCAGCTAATTTTTGTATTTTTAGTAGAGACCAATTTCACCTTGTTGGCCAGAATGGTCTCGATCTCTTGACCTCATGATCTGCCTGCCTTGGCCTCCCAGAGTGCTGGGATTATAGGCATGAGCCACTGCACCCGGCCAATTTTGTGTATTTTACAGCCTTTTTTTAAGCAGGCAATGGAGCAGAGTTTGAATCTACTGCCTGACTGTTTTCAGGGGAGCAGAACTTGACAACACAAGGGGTTCAGTGTGGAGAAGTTACTGGGACTGGGACATGATCATTGTGCTGTACTCAGCTCTACTTCCTCTTTGAAATAGTATCTTATCTTCCACTTCCTGTTCCTTCCTCTGCGCTACCCCATCCTATAGTTGGCCTTCAGATCACATAGTAAAAAGTTGGGCCTGTTGCGTTTCTCTTTTTGTTTCATCAGCCATGGGCATTGTATTAGAGCAGAGGCTGGACTAACTGCCCTCCAGGTAACAACACAGAACTTCTGCTCTCCATGGTAGCCTTTCCATTTACCCTTTCCCCCAGTTTGCATTCAACAGTATGGTGGGTACTGTGCCAGGTGCCCGGGGATACAGTGGTAGACAAGGCAAACACGGTCTTGTCTTGCAGAGTTTACAGTCGATGAAATGATAAACAGATTTTTGACCAAGTACTCAAAAAAAAAAACCTCATGTCCCTTTCCCACTTTTTGATGGTGTTCCTTTTTTTCTTGCTGATTTGTTTGAGTTTTTTGTAGATTCTGGATGTTAGTTCTTTGTTGGATGCATGGTTTGTGAATATTTCCTCCCACTCTGTGGGTTGTCTGTTTACTCTGCTGATTATTTCTTTTGCTGTGCAGAAGCTTTTCAGTTCAGTTAGGATCCATTTATCTATTTTGGGTTTTTTTTGTTTTGGTTTGGTTTGGTTTTTTTTTTTTTTACATTTGCTTTTGGGTTCTTGGTCACAAAGCCTTTGCCTAAGCCAGTGTCTAGAAGGGTTTTTCCAATGTTATCTTCTAGAATTTTTATGGATTCAGGTCTTAGATTTAAGCCTTTGATCCATCTCGAGTTGATTTTTGTATGAAGGGAAAGATGAGGATCCAGTTTCATTCTCCTACGTGTGGCTAGCCAGTTCTCCCAGCACCATTTGTTGAATAGGGCGTCCTTTCCCCACTTTATGTTTTCGTATGTTTTGTCAAAGATCAGTTAGCTGTAAGTATTTGGTTTTCTGTCTGATTTCTCTAATGTGTTCCATGGTCTACCTTTCTGTTTTTATACCAGCACCATGCTATTTTGGTAACTGTAGTCTTGTAGTAGAGATTGAAGTTGGGTAATGTGATGTCTGCAGATTTGTTCTTTTGCTTATTATTGCTTTGGCTCTTTTTTGGTTCCAAATGAATTTTAGGATTCTTTTTCTAGTTCTATGAAGAATGATGATGGTCCTTGATGGGAATTGTATTGAATCTGTAGATTGCTTTTGGCAGTATGGCCATTTTCACGATTTTGACTCTACCCATCCGTGAGCATAGGATATGTTTCCATGTGTTTGTGTCATCTGTGATCTCCTTCAGCAGCCATCTGTAGCTTTCCTTGTAGAGCTCCTTCACCTCCTCGGTGGGTATATTCCTACGTATTGTATTTATTTATTTTTGCAGCTATCATAAAAGGGATTCAGTTCTTGATTCTCAGCTTGGTCATGGTTGGCGCATAGCAGTGCTACTAATTTGGGTATGTTAATTTAGTATCCTAAATCTTTATTGAAATCTTTTGTCAGGTTTAGGAGCTTACTGGATGAGTCTTTAGGGTGTTTTAAGTGTACAGTCATGTCATCAGCACACAGTGGTGGTCTGACTGCCTCTTTACCTGTTAGGACACCCTTGATTTCTTTCTCTTGCCCGATTGCTCTGGCTAGGACTTCCAGTACTGTGTTGAACAGAAGTGATGAAAGTGGGCATCCTTGTCTTGTTCCAGTTCTCAGGGAAAACCATTTTAGAATTGGATCTGCACATCAGCAGCAGGTTTGTTTCTGAGGCTGTCCCATTCTGCAGGATGGGAGAGATGACCCAATATTTTCGTTAACAGGAAACTTCAGTAAGAGCAAATCTAGATGCTTTCTTGTAATTGTATAGAAGATAGAATGAGAACTATTTTGTTTTTTCTTAAATTTTCCTCTAGCTGTCTGTGTCCCTTGATTTTCTTGCATAAGATATTGTAAAAGATCTAGTGGGTTAGGTAATATAAGAAGGAAGAGGATATAAAATGTATCAAATACATTTGTTAGATGTTTTTATGTTGTTAGTCTTTACACAAAGTTATGAGGGTGGTATCTTCCTTACTTTACAGCTAAAGGAACTATCTGTAGCTCAGAGTGTGAGGGCCAATATTTGAACTCAGGTTTGCAAGACCATCATTACCCCCAGTTATCCACCACCAGCCTATTCTATTTTTATTCTGGCTTTATTGAAACCTGGTAAAGCTGATTTTTAAGATACATCCATACCATATTGGCAGTCCTAATTAAGATTTCTCACCACTGTGTGAACCATTCATATTTCCAGTAATAAGAAAATTTAAAGTGAAAATACGAATTCTACTATGATGGTTTTTTATTAAATTTTGTTATATGAAAGTTTTACTTTGCTCTCTTAATTTCCTTTTAAAATCTGTCATCCCTGGTTAATTTCATACACGGTACATGGAGAGTAGCACGAGGGGCCATCAAGCCGAAACAGCCAGTCAGCTTCCACCTGCTGCTCTCTACACCTAGAAGGTGGCGAATGCATTGGGATCCCCTCACTTCTTTGCAACGCCATCCTTCTGTCAAACAGCTTTCTGTTTCATCTTCTTCCAAGACTTGAGATAATTAACTTTTACTTCTTCAGTTTCTGACTTCTGCTCAACAGGCTGCAGTAGCTACCCTCAAAACTGTGATCTTGGCAGTTAAACTCTTGTCTTCCCGCCACTTCTGTCTCACTCCTTTTTAGATAACTGGTCAGTATATACAACCAATAATTCAGACATATTAGTTATCTGCCAGCAGGTCACGTAGATGTGATGGGGGTTATTCCCCAGAAAGCTTGCTTCCCTCTGATATAAGCACTTTTAGTCTTCCAAAAAAAAAGGAGAAATGACCCAAATTACTTTCTTTCCTTATCTTCCCCTCTTTCTCCTTCCCCCAGGCTTACTGAAAATCAGGTCTGTAGAATAGGCCTCCTAAATCTTTCTGATTCTCTTTCTGATTTCTCTACATATTACCCACAAGAGAAATCAATTTCAGCTGAAGTGATCAACATTCTACTATATTTTCTTAACAAACATTAATACAATCAAATAATTTAAATTTCACCTTTGATTATTTCTTTATTAAATTCATAGTAGCAAATAACCATCTTCATTAGCATTGATTAGCATGAGAAGAAATTACCTTGCTGTTAATTGTTTAAAAAATAGTAATTGTTAGTTTTTAATTATTAGTTATATTTAATAGCAATTGTTAGGTTTTTTTTTTGTTTTTTGTTTTTTTTAATTTTTTATTGGATTTTAGGTTTTGGGGTACATGAGCAGAGCATGCAAGACAGTTGCGTAGGTACACACATGGCAGTGTGCTTTGCTTTTCTTCTCCCCTTCACCCACATTTGGCATTTCTCCCCAGGCTATCCCTTCCCCACCTCCCCCTCCCACTGGCCCTCCCCTTTTCCCCCCAATAGACCCCAGTGTTTAGTACTTTCCTTTCCGTGTCCCTGTGTTCTCATTTTTCCTCACCCACCTATGAGTGAGAATATGCGGTGTTTCATTTTCTGTTCTTGTGTCAGTTTGCTGAGGATGATGTTCTCCAGATTCATCCATGTCCCTACAAACGACACAAACTCATCATTTCTGATTTCTGCATAATATTCCATGGTGTATATGTGCCACATTTTTCCAATCCAGTCTATTATCAATGGGCATTTGGGTTGATTCCAGGTCTTTGCTATTGTAAACAGTGCTGCAATGAACATTCGTGTACATGTGTCCTTATAGTAGAACGATTTATAGTCTTTTGGATATATACCCAGTAATGGGATTGCTGGGTCAAATGGAATTTCTATTTCTAAGGCCTTGAGGAATCGCCACACTGTCTTCCACAATGGTTGAACTAATTTACACTCCCACCAACAGTGTAAAAGTGTTCCTTTTT